AGAACCCTCCAGGCGCGCGCACGCCTTGCCGCGCGGCCTTGCGCATGAGCAGATCAGCCCGGGGAGGCGGAAGTGAGGCGCTGGTGCGCGGAGGTGGGGGCCGTCGGGCTTGGCGTGGGGCGGGCGAGCTGCGGACATGGCGCCCCCCGGGAATCTTGTAGTTCCCCTGGCAGTTCTACTGCTGTTGCTTTCGGGGGCTCCCTGGACCCACGGGCGGCGGAGCGACGTGCGCATCATCACGGACGAGAACTGGAAAGAGTTGCTGGAAGGAGAGTGGATGATAGAATTGTGAGCGCGGGGCGGTTGTCTCGGGGGCCCTCGGTGGGCCGGGCGGGCCGGGGTCCTAGATCCAAGTCTGGACACCTGACTTCACTTCCCACACCCCTCATGCGGGCCGGAAGTTCCCGCAGACTGCCACTGCAGACTGCCACTCCAGCTTGCGGAGCAGGTGCCCCCAACTCCTCCAGATCCCCAAACTCTGTGGACCAGCCGCCGGCTTAGTCCCATCTCCTCGTTTCTTATCAGAGAATGTTAAGTTTCTTCTAAAGTGTGCACTCTGCTTTCGCTTCTAGGGCAGTGGTGCGCCTACGAGATTGCGTTCCGGTTCTCTCAATTTTAATTCATGGTTTGGGAGTGGGGTGGTTGATGTGACTAGTTCCTATACAGTTATTTTAGAATGGTCGTCACAGACTTGTAGACTTATTTTCACCAAACTTTACAAAAGAGAAATTTAAACAGAACCTTTCTTCTTTTGTCTCATTATCCCTAAAAGTTAGTCCGTTTATAGTGTTGGAATTTGGGACTCTCTGTTTTAAATTTTATTTTATGGATTAGGTGTATTTTTATTTTAAATGCAAAGTAAATTCAAGTTAGATTATTTAAAAATTTTCGTTCCCTTTATAATTTTTTCTTTCATCGCTTTTCTCTTTCTCTGCATCTTATTTTTCCTTTACGTGTGTGTTTTTGTAAAGTACTGAATGTCCTGGGCCGTGACTCTTAATGTCTTCTAAATTAGTGTATGAGTGTGATTATAAACTCATCGAAGACAATCATGTGGTGGTTTCGTTATAATAAGATCCCTTCTGCATCGGTGGAAAATAAACTATCTGCCTTTGCTTTAGTTGCTAAATTGGTAGTGGTAGTGTTAGTATTGATACTAGAGGTATTAGTGATACTCGTAAAAAGAAACATTGAGTGTTAACTGTGTACGAAACTCTGCTAAGCATTATACCTACATTATTATATTTAATTCTCTCCAAATTCGGCGAGATAGGTATTTTCCCCACATTTTATACGTGAGAGATACCTAAAGACTTAATTAACCTGTCCAGTTATTGCTGTATTGCTTTCCTTCAGTTTCCAGAGCCTAACAGTAGGCATGCAGTACTCATTAGAACACCGCCCCCTTCCCCCTTTCTTTAACAAGGTTCCACTGAGTGTTTTCCTGGATTGTTGGGTGGCGAATTCAGGAGGTGGGTGGAGGTGGACATCATTAAGGGAAAATCCAGTCCAAATCAGTAACTCTTGAGTCATGAAATCCAAAAAGGCATAGAACACTTGTATAGAAGATAAAATGGGGAAAATGGTTATAGTATGCATATAATCTGTAACTTGGTGAAATGAATTTTCAGGCACCATTGAAGCTAGGAGAGGAAATAAGTGACAGCATTTGATTTTCATTGTCATGAGTAACTTGTTTTAGATTGTGCCCATAAAAATCGTAGTTTCGTAAATAATGTGTTCAGCAGCAGTGATTATGAATTAATATACAAAACAGTCAAATATTACTAAAGGAGATTTTTAAAAACTCAGTTTGATCAAACTAGATAAATTAGTCAAAAGTGCAATATAGGCTATTTGAATTAGAGCATCTGTGAAATTACAGTATACGATAGTAATTTTTTTTGATAATTTTTTTCCTGTAGCATACTGATTTTGAAGCCATTTTTAAAAAGCACTTAAGAAATAAAAGGAACATGAAAAAGTGATATAGTTGGTAGTCTGAATTATATTTATTACAAGTCACATTAAATTCATCTTGATCAGAAGTTTTGTTACAGAGATATTTTCATCGTAATAATTGTTATGAACTTTGGCTTTAATGTATGGTACTAATCTTCTTCCACAATGCGTATTAACTTTTAGGAGTTTTATTTTCAATAAAATAAGTCAAGTTTTGTATACAATGGAGTACAAAACTGCACTATTATGTTCAACAGATAGAAGCTTTATTCCTGGTTCCATTAAAAAACTGAGGTAAATTATAAGATAATATACAATAAATTGGAAAAATTAAATCCTAGGGAAAAGTCAGGGCCTTTAAAAATGCTGAATACCAGAAGAGTAATTAAAATGCTAATATATTGACCATAGATTTGTAAACCTGAGGTCTTAGAAATAGACTGACCAAGGGCTGGCCAAAATAATTTTGTTTGGCCTGCCTTATATTTGTGTGAATGGCTTAAGTTTCGAGGTAACATTTTTATATAAAAATGCAGATATTTTAGCTTCTTTTATATGAGAATAGCCTGCCATACTGGGCCAGCAATCCCCTATGGCAGTTGCGCTAAGTAGTGGCTCCCTGCTTAAGATAGAGTGCAGGTTTCCTTATTACAGCTACAGCCTTGGGTGCTTCCTATTTTTCTCATACTAGCGCCTTGCATTTGTGACTGTTGCAGTGTAAAATTATTAGAACTGATGAACTCCAAATTTGACGTTGATCTTTCTTGTGGCCACATTTTAATAGAGAAATCCAAAGGTTTTTTTAAAAAGCTGTTTTGCATGTGAAAAGTCTTTGTGTTTTAAGAAGTTATTCTCTGAATTACTTTTATGTGATTAGCATCATCTGTTATTCTTGATTTGCCAGTGTTAGGCCCACACTTAAAACTTTTTCATCTTCACAAAGTTAACTACTTTGCTATCTTGTTGTTAGTATAAAATTTCTCCACAGATTACACATTTTAGAATTTTTGGTTAGAGTGCTTAACTTTTTCTTTTTTTTAACTGTATTTCTCAGTTATGCTCCGTGGTGTCCTGCTTGTCAGAATCTTCAACCAGAATGGGAAAGTTTTGCCGAATGGGGAGAGGATCTTGAGGTTAATGTTGCAAAAGTAGATGTTACAGAGCAGCCAGGTACTGTAAATTGTGATTAGTTTTGTTCCTTTGCAGATTGGGTTGATATGTTTATTCTGTTTTCTACATAACATGGTCTTAACTCTGCCTTTCATTGGGTTTTGAAAACAGCTGTCTGTAGCTAGTTAAGATGATTCACCTGTCACCCTGATGGGGGGCTCAGTGTGCAGTGGCAGCAAAAAGCAGATTCCTTGGTTGTGTATGCAGTAAGGGATCATGGAGACATCCTTCTCCCCCCATTCTTCCCCACATAACTGCCTCTGATCCCTTTTTGCTTTGTATCCCAGGCCCCAGACTAGCAGGTAAGGCCTTTGAGAAGTCCTAGAACACTGTGGTCCAGGTGTACTTTAGCCAAGCCATCATTTACATTCTTACTAAGCTTCAGAATAAAGGGCTTGTGGTTGAGGTTTTTTGTAGGCTCAAGGTCACATTCCCTGACAAGTGGTTCGAATATCTCCAGTTGGGTCCCAAATTTAATACCTGTGATTTGAGGACATGGACTCTTAATTGCAAAGCATGCATGCTCATGGGGTCAACTACACTTCTCACTGGGCCCCCTGGACAAGTGGCAGGCCCTGCCCTTAAGGATGCTCCTTTCTTAGTCCAGCCTCATCTTACCTGTTCTTGATCAAGATACCTGGGTTCTTGACTCTGCCCCTATTCCAAATGGTAATAATAATGTTGGGTATTTACCTATTAAAGGTACTGCTCCAAGTGTTTTGCATTTATTATGTAATCCTTACACAACCTTGTGAGATAGGTAATATTCCCATTTTACAGATAAGGAAACAAGCATAGAGAGATTAATCAGTTATATTAGTATTTAACACATGTTTAATAGTAATGTTAGCTGCTATGGTTATAACCTATCTTATGGGATTCATAATATTTTTCATTTTTAACACATTAAACTTAGCTTTTGTTTTCTGAATATCAAATATAATTTGATTTGATTTTAGAGTTTTTTAAAACTACTGTTAAATTGTGCTGTCCCATGAGTCATCACCAGTAGTCTTATCATAGTGGTATAATTGATGAAGTGTTTTATAAATACATTCCCTTTTTAATTGAGATAATGTACAGAAATTTTTTTTTACATTGCTTTAAGTACATAATTAGGATTTTTTATTGTTTATGTTAACAAAGTTCACCTAGTTTTTAGTATAATTTCATGTTTTTTTCCTATTAATATTTAATTCAGAATCAACTTTTAAGTAGTAAGCGATTGGCCCATATAAAATCTCTTGTGTGTTCTTTCTTATGTTTATTTTTAATATTTCTTTATCATTTGTAGGACTGAGTGGACGATTTATCATAACTGCTCTTCCTACTATTTATCAGTAAGTATTTGAAGATTCCTTAGTTATAGAGAAGAATACATCATAGTAGAGTTAGAATAGTAAGTCAATGGACTGGATCATGTTTAAAGAGCATTATAGTCAGTAAGTATATTAGGAAGCTTATTTAGTCATGCTATCCTAGATGCCTTTAGATAGATGAATGATGTATGAAACAGTCCTTGGTCTCAAAGATTTGTAAGTTTTAGAAGGTTATGTTCACTTGAAATGGTTTGATACTATTCAGCATGGTAAATGTTTTTGAGCCCACAGTTGTGGTAAGTCCTATTGGAAGTTTGATAAGGGAAAAATCACTGGGTTGGAGTGGTTCCTGGAGAATATGGGGTTTATATGCAACCTTGGAGGTAGAATTTTCAAAAGTGCAGCATAAACATTCCATCCTGAGGGCTATCTCATAAAGAGTGATAAATAGGAACATGATACGTTCAAAAATTAGCTAAGGAAGTGCTGTATAGTTCAACCTGAAATGGTTGAGCCATTAAGTCAGAATGAAAAGTTTATGTAGTCTTCAGTATTAGGTCTTTTAGTTTGACTCTATCTTCTAAACTGGGGATAGGCAATCTCGACTCTGTACCTGCCCTATACCTTAATGTTCATCTAGTTTGGTAGGTTGAATGCCAGGAGGTACTGCTGTCATTGAAAGTTATGAAAACATGTTGGCAATTTTTTATGTCTATATTTCACTTTTCTTTGTCATCTCTTTTTTCACATTTGTATCTGTTTCCCTATATCATTATTCTCCCTTGCTCCCTTTGTATCTGTTTAAACGTCTAGTCTCTTGTCTCCATAAGTGCTTCTCTCCCTTTTCACTCAGTCCTTTTCTCCACAGGCCTCTTAAGTGGCTGTAATCAGACTTCCTCTTTTTACTTCTCAACATCCCCTGAGCTTAGCTGGAATTTCCTGCCCATTTCTTTTAGTCACGTTATCATGCCCATTCCCCTAATTTCTGCTTGTTGAAATCCTATGTGTCCTTCAAAAACAGCTCAAATGCTATATTCTCCACAAAACATTGTTTTTCTGAGTTGGGTAGGGGGTCTTCTTTATGGTCTTTGGCTCTGGATGGATAAAGGATCCTTTAACTCTACTGTAAGTAGTAAGGAACTATTGGAAGTTTTTTCACTTAAGTGATAAAAATAGAAGTATTAAGTAGGATTAGACTGGCAGCATTATTTAAGGTAGTGTAGAAATGGTGAAGATGTGGGAGCAGGTAGAGCCTTTATGACCCTATGACAGAACTCCATATGTTGGGAATACAAAGGGTGAGGTGATAGCAGGACGCATGCACAGCAGACTATAAAATAGAATCACTGAAATGGGAGGAGGGGAAACACTCGACCTGACGCCTCCAGTGCTTTAAGGTATGATGGCTGAGATGATATGGTTATGACTGAAAATACCAGCAAATTGCCTTAAATTTTTAACCTATAGTTTAACTATAGCTAATAATAAATGCCAGACACTATTGTAACAACTTTTCATGTAATATGTATATTACACACAAGGCATAAAAGTGATTTTCTTAGATATATCTATTTCTTGTCCCCCCTTCCCCTCAGTTTTACTGAGATATAATTGACATACAACTACTTGCTATTTTTATTATTTGGAAAAGCACCAATGGTCTTACGGATTATGATTATTTAAAAATATAACCTCATTGTTTAATTTAGGGCTAAGAGGTTGTGAGTAGGTAATTAGTGTAATAGCTACTTGTGTATTGTTGATGGTTTTGAATATTAAGATTGTAAAATGAGGTTAAAGAAATAGCAAAACAAATACAAAATTTGTTTATTTGGTGCTAGTTAATATTTCGTTCTGATCCTCTTCAGTTGTAAAGATGGTGAATTTAGGCGCTATCAGGGCCCAAGGACTAAGAAGGACTTCATAAACTTTATAAGTGAAAAAGAGTGGAAGAATATTGAACCTGTTTCATCATGGTTTGGTCCAGGTTCTATTCTGTAAGTATGAGGCATTTTTCTTTTATTTCAGAAATAATTGGAACAGATTTTGTGTAAATAAAGCGTTCATGCTCAGTTTTAATTCTTGGACTCTTAAGGTATATTCAGACTTACTGTGTGATAATTTTGGTTTAACTCTCTTTTAAGTTAAACAGATAATTTGATCTTTGTTAAACTAGAAGGAGACATTCTCTAGAATTAAGTTGGAAGCGTTTTTACGAATGTTTTAGCTTTGTAGATATGGTCATTTGAAGCATCAAAAACTAAATAATCCCCCAAAGAATGTGAGCAATGCAATGGGTAAAGCTATCGTTTGAGCTTAATATTTGAGTGAGAAGTCTCAAACATGTACCTACTCATGCTGCCTTTAGATTTTAGTTCTTGATGTAATGTGATTGAATTATTCCACCTATCTGATAACTTTTTGTTTGAATAGTACAGATGAATAATAACCCTATAATGGCATGACTAACCACTGAACTTTACATATAACTAGAGGGTAGCAGCTTGCTACAGAGCAGTAAGGACTGGAGATAGCACACATTTGCTGCTAGCTTTTTGGGTGCAAGGCCCCCCAGGTCACTTGAGAGACCTCCAAAATACTGAGTTTTGCTGAGGTCACCACAGACTTACTCTGATGTAGCTAAGCTGTCTTCCTGTTCTCTCAGCACACTTGCCCTTGGAGGAAGGGGAGTTGGGACAGCAACGGTATAAAAGATAAAAATGCTCTGAATTTCGGGAGTGGGAGAAAGATTAGCCCTAATCATTATTTTGAAATAGAAGTTTATGTTTTCTGCCATTCCCTTACACCTCTCTTCCTGTGAAAATCTCTTGATTTGATTTGTCCTTTTGCTGCTAGAATTCCCCCACTGAACCACCAGGCCTGACTCAGTAAAGGCACCTAGTATTGATGAGAGTCTGAGTAGTTCAGATGACAGTGAGGCTACAGAGTGCTTTATGTTTTAATTCTGTAGGTCTATTCCCATTTTGCATTTTAAACAGAAGCAACGTAATTCAAGTACCTTCGTATGTTGAACTGAAAATGTAACTGACATTTTGTTTTTTGAAATGTCATCTCATAAATGAATGTTACCCTTTCAGTGGATGAAGAGGGTTGCTTGTTACTCACTCTCCACTGAATCCTCAGGGCAGCATTCCATACCTTTTTTATTGGTGGACTGAATAAGGGGCACTCTCAGTATCTCCTCAGCAGGTTCACCCAGCCAGTGATTGGCAATTGGATTAGGTCATCTTACATATAGGAGGTTTGGCTTACGTGGGAATTGGTTTATGTGTTGGTGGCAACACTTCTCGCTAGAGGAACAACAGTTGGGCAACAACAAACCCTTGTTATGCCTTTTTCTAACTGCCTATCTAAACTAGATGGGTTTAATTACGTGAAAAAAATTATTACTTTTACTTATATGATGATTTGGCATTTATTTCCTATGTAACTTTGTATATTATTAAACTATATCAAATTAATGCTATTATAAGTTTAATTTTAATTTGAACAGGTGGGAGGTAATTCTTAGTTGAGAAGGATCAGCTCAGTAAGTGCTGCCAGTTCTTCCTTCAGGCTCCCTTTTCTGCTGATGTAGAGCCATTTGCTTTATAGTATGCCTAACTTTAACCAGCTGGTTCCACAGAGCTTATAACCTATTACTCAGAGTATATTGGAGAAATCATCAGATGAAAGGTGAAAGGTTAATGTTAAAGCAAGAGGAAAAAAGAAAAAAAAATGTGTTTTATTTATGAGGATATCACATAGTGGCAGGAATTCAGAAACTTTAATTTTTCATTAACAAGTCTTCCATTTACAGGCATAAAATTAGTGTTGTATCACTAATCTTGATTAAAACCAGCAATAAAATCATGTCTATTGGGGAAGTTACAGAGTTAAAAATAGAAGATAAGGCTATACACTTGTATATTCTACTTTAGAACTGTGTATCTTACTCCGTTTTTCATTCATTTCTCTTATTTTAGGATGAGCAGTATGTCAGCACTCTTTCAGCTATCTATGTGGATCAGGGTATGGGCTAAAATTTTATTTCTGTTTTAAACATTTCGACACTGTTACTTTTTTAAATGACCAGATTTTTAGTTTATTGTTACTATGTTTTTTGATTTTAGACTTGCCATAACTATTTTATTGAAGACCTTGGATTACCGGTATGGGGATCATATACAGTTTTTGCTTTAGCAACTCTGCTTTCAGGACTATTATTAGGACTCGTAAGTACTTTAGTTTCAAAGTTCTAGGTAGAAAATTGATCATTTTATATAATTGCACTAGCTTTATCATTCACGTTTCTTGTGTTTATTTTTTCAGTGTATGATATTTGTGGCAGATTGTCTTTGCCCTTCAAAAAGGCGCAGACCACAGCCCTACCCTTCCAGTGAGTATATTTTTATTTTTTATTTTATTTTATTATATTTTTCCCTGGGAGTGAGATTGCTAGGATCTATGGTAAGTATATTTTTCCTTCCTTCCTTCCTTCCTTCCTTCCTTCCTTCCTTCCTTCCTTCCTTCCTTCCTTCCCTCTTTCCTTAAATTTCTGTTGACATTCACTATTATATTATTTTCAGTTGTGCAACAGACATTTATGTAACTTATGAAGTGATCACTCCAATAAGTCTAGAACCCATCTGACAGCATACATAGTTATTACAGTGTTATCGACTATATTCCCTATGCTGTACTCTGTATTTCTGTCTTTTTATAACTGCTAATTTATACTTCTTAATCCCCCCGTTTAGCTTAGGTTTCTAAATATGGAGTGGTGGTTTATATCCAAAGAGGGAGGAGGATATATATTTCATGTAAGAATGACAGCCCAGTGGATGTTGGAACATAGTTATTTTTTTGACTTATAATGTGGAGATTTTAACATTGCATATAACTTGTGGATATTTAATAACATTGGTCTGACATCAGTTTATTTGAAAATTCCATGATATTTGGATCCATTTGAATATACTTGAGTCAAAAAAAGTTGAATATGTTCCACTCTTGAAGTCATTCATTAGTATAGTGATTACATTTGAAGATTTTTTTTCCTATGCTATTCAAGTTTAAGTTTTTCTGGTAGGATTTTGGCAAAAGCAATTCCTGTAGTTGGTTTAGGATTGACATTGATACTGTACTATAAGTTTATACAATTAGAAATACTATTGTCTACCTTAGTATAATTACCTACCAATCATTTATTTTCAGTCTTCAAAATTATATTGCTATAGAAACCCTCCTATTTGCTGTTTGTGAAGAACTTTCACTTTTTGTCACCCATTTGCTTTTCAGTCACTCTAAAGTAGACTGCGTAAAATTCATAGTCTTCCTATTTTTGTGGTTGAGGAAACTAAGGCTCAGAGAGAGGAACTATTTTCCGAGGTCACACAGAAATGACAGAGCTGAGAGTAGAACCTAAATCAGACTCTTGGCTTGATATTTCCTTTATGCTGCCTTTTAAGACTTGGGATTTATTGAGGTCAGAACTCCTGAAATGAAATCAGTGGAGATTGCATTTACAGTATGCCTTATTCATCAATAACTGATAGATTTTCATTTCTTAGGTAGTTATATCAATACTAAAAATGACATGTATAGGGAGGGACTCATTTTATCCACCAAGGGCCACTGACCTATAGGAAAAAAAATGTAAGCACAGATTACTTAAAAGAGAATTTAAAATTTGGGGAATGTACATTTTATATGTATTTCACTTCAAAAACCTTAGCTGTAACAAATTTGTCTTTTAAGTAATCTGTGACACAACTGATAGGTATAATTCCATACTTTAATGAGATATACTTCCATACTTAACTCCTTCTAATAGCAGGCCACATGATTTGAGTTGTTTTCCAGTATGTGTGTATTTGGCTTAGATTTCGTGTTGCTAGAGAAACACCCAACTCAGTAGCTTTTAGCAAAATATAGGATTTTATTAATTCATGTAGCAAGGAAATCTGAGGACAGAGTTGATTGGATCCTAGGGCTCAAAGGTTAAGATGTTATGTCCTTGCCTTTGCTTGCTCCATTTTTGGCTTTTTGCAGTCCTTAGCATAAAATGATGGTAGCTCACGATCCCAGAGTAAGAAGGAAATATACCTTTTGCCTAACCCCATCCATCTTTTGGGAAAATTTTAGTGCCCTCCACTTGCGTAAAGGGCTTGCTTTTTGGAAGTTATTGTATACCAGGGTTTCTCAACCTTGATGCAATTGACCTTTTAGGGTGGATAATTCTTAATTGTGAAGAACTGTCTTTAGTTCATTGCTGGATGTTCAGCAGCATCCCACTGGTCGCCAGTAGCACTGCCACTCAGTTGCGATAGTCAGAAATATTTCCAGACATTGCCAAGTGTTCCTTGGCAGGCAGAATCACCCCTTGTGGAGAACCACCACCATAAACTGTGGTGCTCACTACAACCACATGGGATGTGGGATAGGGAACGGGCTACTAACCCAACAGAAGGAAGGATGCCAGATAGACCAAATAAGACTCTTCACTACGTGGTGATTTCTTCCCATAGTTTTTTACCTCACACCCCATATTTTCCCCCCTCCATTCTGGATTGCCTAGGATTAGGGGTATTCTGGAATCACTGACCAGAGTAAAGCTCACTAGCCCAAATTCTGTGCGCTGTATCTCAGTTTAACATGGTGCATTCGAAGTTTAAGCTAACTATCAACAAGCCCTATAAAAAACAAAAGAGTATATGTTTGTGTGTACATATTTAAAAATTTATTGCTCTATATACTTAAGATTTGTACATTTTATTATTTGTAATCATACCTTATGTCTGTGGGGAAGAGGGAACACTTTTATGAAAGCACTTAAAAAAACAGTGGATAGGAATATAATTTTCTAATATAAAAGTTTTATTCTTGTTCATCTATGAACTAAATCTAGGGTAGTATAGAAGTTTGTTTCATTATGCTTATTAACTGAAAGATTTAAGAGTAAATTAATATGTTATATTTAATGCAACATTTTCTTGCAACATCCATATTCATAGCATTTTATTTCAATAATTTCACTTCAGTTTATAAATAGATAGGTACTTAGAATGAATTCGGTAAGTAAAATGGATCTTGGAAACTGTTATTTTTACAGTATTATTCTTGATAACTTTTTCCTTTTGGAAATTAAAACATATGATTAATAAATAAATGCCAAAGCAATCTATGGGCATATGAATTGTGTCTTGATTTTATACTAATAGAAATATAATACATCACAAAAATATATTTTTGGTCTTTATCTTTAAGAAAAATTATTTCCAGAATCTTCTCAACCTTTGAAAAAAGTGGAGGAGGAACAAGAGGCTGATGAAGAAGATGTTTCAGAAGAGGAAGCTGAAAATAAAGAAGGAACAAACAAAGACTTTTCACAGAATGCTATAAGACAACGTTCTGTGGGTCCTTCATTGGCCACAGATAAATTCTAATTTTATAAAAATCTTAATATGATTTTGACAAAAAAAGAAGATCATTTATTTTGGTTTGAAGTGAATTGTCACTTGTACATTGCAAGATTCAGTCTAGGTTGTCATTAGAGTGAATGGTCTACCTTTGAATAATAAAAGTAGTGCTCTGTAAATAAGTTTGAAATAGGATTAATAACAGTATGGTGGTTTAAACAATTCTTTAATTTTTGAACAATCTGGTGCGGAGCAATAAGATTAGTTTATGTTTGTTTAATAATAACGTTTTTCAAGTCTGAGTTGAAAAACTACATTTCCCAAGTATTGCATTATTGAGGTATTTAAGGCGATTACTTTATAGAGAAAACAGATTTCTCATTTGATAAAATTTTTCTCAGTTTCACTGTGTGAAAAAAAGAACATATTTCCCATAAATGGGAACTTTGCCCATTGTCTCAAGAAATGTGTATTTCAATAACAACTATGGTTCTTTTAGGGATATAGTCCAAAGTTTCCTCGTATTTTTTAGATTATGCAACTAATAAAAACTACCTTATTTTAATTACAGTTTTCTACATACGATAATACAGGATATGCTACTGATGTAGGAAGTTTTTGTAAATCCATGGTGTTGTCTTGATTCCTGTAAAGGTTGGTTACCTTTTTTTGTTCCTTTGTTCAGTGTATGATTTGTATTTTTCTTACTTACCATGGGTTACATTTTTCATTTTTCAAGTTGAATAATATCCTGGAAATATTTTTCATGTTTTAATAAATAGTACTTTTTTTGTTGTTTTTTAACTGAAGTTTACTGAGGGATCCTTAAAATTGATGAGCTGTCTACTAATTTAAAATTTTGGCCACTCTTTAGATTTTATATTGTTCTTGTTGAACATATACTTGGACTTTTTGTTTGTTTGTTTTTGGATGTGAAGGCGAGTATTCCTGATTTTTATTTTATTTGGAAAAGCCTAGGTATTTTACATTTTGAAAATTCACAGAAGCTTAATCTGATATAAAGTTAGTGTTCTACTCAGGAAAAAGCATCTTTTATAGTGTATGTTTTCAGTGTACCTTTGCCTTCACATACAGAAAGTTCTTAATTGATTTTACAAAGTCAGTGTATACTCGGTGTATTAAAAGCATAACATTTTTATGTTTTTGAGAAGACAGACTTTCTTTTCTCTACTTTTATTGTGTATTTCACAGGTGGGAATCAGCAGGATGGGACAGTTAATATATTTTTACTCTTCGAAGAACTAGAACACATTTTTTACCTTACAGCAAAGAGGGTGGGTGTGGGGTGGCAATAGAGAACTGTATGAGCTACAAGAAGGGGAAAATAACCACAAACCACCTGTCCATTATGTAATAGACAATTTCTGTAATGTCCCCTTTCATCTGGATTCTCTTGCTGTGTGTGAATTCATTAGACCTACAGTTTCAAAATGTACAACAGTTTTCTTTAAATGCCTCTCCTTTAGTCTATTAAATATTCTACCATTAAAGAGTTTGGATGTGTAGTGATTTGGGGATTCTTTAGAAAAATATTTTAAGTACAAAATAAACATCTAAGCACTTCGCTAAAGATGAAGACAAGTGTGATTTCTAGTTGCATATTTAGAAATGCTTATCTTGTATTTAACATTGTTTGAAAAGTATGTATACTTCATACATGTAATCAAAAGGCTAGGGTCACACACCTTTTTCTGTTATTTGAGATGATAGCGGAAAATTAGTGCTCATTAATCAAGCATTCTATTTTCTAGTGTTCTAGTATACATGACATAAATTTCAAGTTTTTAAGTAATCAGAAAATACATATACAGAAAATTAAAAGTAGGTCGAACAGGTAGAGACTTGATATTTCAGAAAACAGATAATCTTGTAGTTCTTCAGGATTGTCACTGTAGACATCTGAATAACCAATCTTCTATCACGTCAGAGACTCATAGAAACTATGGGATCATTTTACCTTTAACAGACCTTTTATTTCTGTTATTGGCTTGAGAGGGCTCAACATGGCAGATTAACTGCAGATCACTTAGAAATCACCCAGTCACTCAATAATCATTCAGCTCTACTGTGGAAGTTTTGTAAAATCTGATCACGCCAATGAAGAATGCAGTGTTCTAGCATATACTGTGTAAATACTTAGAAAGCCTATCAAAAGTTTTAATGATGATTCCTGTGTATATAATAATAGCTACTGTTCATTGAGTACCAATTAGAGTTATTTTGCGTTTTACCGTAATAATTCATTTAGTTCTAACTACCATGTACGATAGGTAAGCATTATGCATATTTCAGGTGAACAGGCTCAGGGAGCTATGGCAGAAATAGGTACAATAAGAATCTAGTTCTGATTTCAAATCTTGTGATTTTTTTCAGTATTAGTACTGAAAATTCTGCCATCTATATGTTAAATTACAATGTAAATTTTAATTCTTAAAATTTCACTCTTAGCAAAATATTGCAACAAACATTTCAGAAATATCAGTATTTAGTATTTGTAGTCTTGTGATCTTGGGTACTACATAAAGAATCAGGGTTATTACAGTAAGTGATGCTTTTGAAAACAATTTTCTCTCAAGTCAGTTGTTTTATTCAGCCCAGTGCATAAAAGGCAGAGTTCTAGATGTAGTTATGATGAAATTACCATTTTTGAGTGAACAATTTAACTCCGATTTATAGTTTAGGGTAGAATTTCAGTAAATTATTTAATTTTTTTCCAGCTTTATGGAGGTATGATTGACAAATTAGAAGAAAATTGATTTGGGATGGAATTTGAATGAGTGGTCCTACTGACTACTGAATAATTGTATAATTTTAAAAGTAAAAATTGAAATTGAATGTTTTATTTGCAGATTTAGATATGTTGGTATTGAATATCTAGTAATTGTTGCTTTTATTTTTAAACCGTTAAAACTAGAAAGACAGTAAATTTAAATGGAAAGTTTGATAGTTTATAAATAGTAGGGTCAAATTATATACTTGAACAAATCTAAAATAATTCTTCCCTTTTAATTTTAATTTGGCTCATTTAATTACAAATGATAACAGTATTTTAGCCTGGCTCTTATTCTGTTAAATTTCCTGAACCTCTCAGATGAGTTCTGTAGCCATGACTGCCCAGCTCTCCTGCTTTTCTCTGAATGATAGCATGTAAGATGTCTCCCTACCTCTAGACCTCTTGTGAAGTAAAGAGTAGAGGAGGAAAGAAAGCAATCCAGAATTCTTTATGAGTGGTTAGGGGTTCAGTTCTCAAATCAAGGCCCATCTTTTTTTTTAAATTAAGTTATCCAATCTCTTTTTCTAAGAAACTGATGAGTCAAAATGGTAGTTGGATGGTGTCATACTATCCTGAGAGCAGGTATCCATTAACCAAGGTAACGACTCCCTGTCTGGGTTGCAGGTAATAGCTAATAGACTTTGTGTTACAGATCTAATAGTGTTACAGTCCAATTTTGTGTTATAAATCTAGTCATTAGTGGCCAGTCATCTGTTTTTGGACAAAGTGCTCCTATGACGTCAAGTAGACTTTTTTTTTTAATGATTTGGGACCACTTATGAAGAGTAGTCTTGTTTCAGGTGGTGAAATTTTAAGTATAAAAACAATTAGGCAGATCTATAGTGAAAAAAAAGTGTGTTTTACCTGTAAAATTGGATAAAGTAAGATAGCTTGCAGATGTACACCATCTATTCTCTAGTTCTCTTCCAAGCTCTTTCTCTGTGAAAGTTCAGGTGCCCAGGCTTGCTCCCACAAAAGGTCCCAGGTATCAATGTCGATGGAAACAGTAGTCTTTTTATAGATATGACATAATAGAGGGTTTTCGATTTCTAGCTATCCTTGTGTTGTTTGCCATCTAAAAAGTCACCTAATAAAATGATTGAGTCCATTTACCCAGAAAATCACCTGATTTTATTACAAGGAAATAGGTCCAAAGAGACTGGATAGCTTCTTCCAAAGGAAAATGTGTATAATCCCAAGAGTTCGTTTGGTTGTATGCTTTAACCAGTTTGTGAGTAAATGATCTCTTCCAGAAGACCAAATCTTTGGGTTTTAGGTCGTGCGTAGTTTAGGGAGATTTTGAGGAAAGGTGGTTCATACCTGTTGATAAAACTGGGTGTATCACGAGAGCCCCTTGCACTATTTGGTCATGTCTTCTTGCTAGTAGCATGTGGAGCCTAGAATCAGATGTAACATTCCTAGATGCCTGGACAGGCCTGTTACGTACTCACACGGCCAGAGTTGTTGAACCTCACAAGAGTCATTAAAGCCAATGAGAATATCTTAGGCCACAGAGCTTTGAGAATCTCTGAAAGCTCTGCTAAACTGAGTTTCAGAATTCCATTTGGTCTTTCTACTTTTCCTGGAAATTGAGGGCAGTATGGATAGCAGACTTTCTAAGAAAGTGGAATGGTTTTACAAACATCTTCAAAAAGAGTCCCAGGAAAACTGGTGTCCCCGTCACTGGAGAGAGATGAATTCCCCAGGTTGGGGTGCCTCTAGTGTTTGCATTTATTTCTGCCAGTCACTTGGGAGTGTTTTAAACTAAATTCTCACGTTGGAGTTTTTCACACTCAAGGACAGTACAGATTTTGTCTTCGTGTGCAGCACCAGCTTGTGAAAGGAACTCCCAGAGGAAACTTCCCTTTTTCCAAAGCTGATGGAAAGCAGGCACATTTCTTTCAGGGTTCGTCTGTCTCTGAGGGAGTTATTGGCAGGTCTGTTTTCATCTGACTTATCACCCTAGGTCCTAGGTTTTTTCTCCAGTGCCCCTGTTTGTATAAAGACTGAAAAGCAACAATGCTATCTCCCAGAGGTCAGCACAAGCTCTCGTGGTAGCTGTTAGCTCTTGGATTTAGCTGCCCCACCGGATTAAAGTTTTTGGTTCATTTTTGGCCTATGGAGAGAGAGTTTCTTCTTAAATGCCCAGCCATGAATTTAAAATGACTTAAAAAACATTTTATCTAGAACTTTAAGGCATCTTTCCAGGAGTGTTTCTCAAGTTATTCACTCCTGAGACAGAGGTACTCTCCTGTTCTTTTTGGCATTGTGGGTTTACACTTAAAAATCTCTACCATTACTTTAGTAGTGTTTTGAGAAAATCATTTAACTGTTACATTGGGACTTTATACTGAGGCATAGGGGCGATGATGTCACAAAGTCAGAATATAGTTTAAATTTGTAGCTGCGTCCTAAAATTAAGCGTGATGCTTTTGTTCCTCCCTTTTGTCAAATATTTCTTATTAAGTAGTTGGGTTTGGCAGGTGATTGTATCTAAGGGTATGTTCCTCAGTTCACTCAGTTAAGCTATTACAACTGATAGCTTCATTTGATAAATTCCACTCATTTTAGTGACACTTTAAAATGATATAAAGTAGATATCACAGTTATAAATGTTGAGACTTTTATTTCTGGTCGTGCTTTTCATAATGTTAATTCTTTATTCAATTTATAAAGGCCAGACAGTGACCTTTTCATGGGACAGAAGAGAAATTACAGAGAAAATACTTGAGAGTTATTGTCTTAAGATCTTATTTAGGTAAAAAAAGCTTATGTTTCATAGCGGAGGGCAAAATAGTTAATTACCTAGGTAGAGATAAATTTTCTTTTACCTTGAAAAAGGCACGTAATTAGTTTTATGCTTGGGGTAGAATTGACTCAGCAACAAATTCTTAATCAGTATGGTATAATGCAAACCTCATTTATTTGGATATAAATTAATTGATCAGAGAGTTCTGAACTTGTAAGTTCTGGGCTTCATAAAGTATGAACATTTTGCATATGTATGTATATTAACACATTTTCCTGGGGCTTACCTTCCTCAACCGTCATATCCCCTTTAGCCACATACATTTGTGCAATGCACAAACTGTATAACTGTATGGGATGGCTAAATTTCCTAAAAGTTTGCATCTCATTGAGAAACCGAAAAAGGTAAATGAAAGCAACATTATTTGACATATTGAGGAAAATTTGTCTTATGGGATTGGGATTTAGAAACTTAAAAGTCATCCTCATCAGGTCTGCTGAATGTGGAAGTGATAAGAGTTGTCTCTCAGTCATACATTTTTTATTATTTTCATTTAGACTAAAATCCTTTGCATATGTATTCAGCACATCTGGTAGGGATCATTCATTCCAGGAATAGCTCTTTTGCAAATCTTCCAAAACCTTACCAGATTTCTCAAAGGCCAGGTTTTAAGACACACTATTCTTAGTAGTTACCTCTTTTTCCAGCAGACTTTTCAGAGCGACAGGGAACTTGGGCACTGGCTAACCATAAGTCTTGATTCTCAGTTCCTATTTTTTCTTCTTAAAGAAAGTAGCTAATATATCTTTTAAATAAAATGAACAAATATTACCAGAAAGAAAAGACAATATGGGGAGAAAAGAGCAACTAAAGTTTTGTGCATCAAATATAATTTGACTGTGATTGGCAAAAATGGTTAGGTAGCTGTTTTGTTAAAAATTATATTTATCAGTAAGGCTGAATTTATTTTTATTAACAAATTAGAAATTTTGCTCTATTCTTTTTCTCTTAGACTCCTCTGCTTTTTTGATCCTTGCATGAA